AAGCCATCTTTATTTATAAAAGAATTCTGGGAAAAAGTCAAAGCATTTTGTAGATTTTAATCTAATTAATCCTCACAATAACCCCGGAAGGGAGTTCTTATACAATGGCCATCATTGTTTAAAGCCACCAGTTGTCAGAGGCCACAAAAGAGTCACTTTGTCTGCAGTCGCTTCTCTGTCCCAGCTTAATTCATAAACGTTATAATGTTCTTTGAAGTAAGTCTAGTATAAACACAAACTGACTACTAGTGTATCAATAATCTCTAATCATTATGAGATTCATTGACCTCACCAATAAGAATTTCTTACAAATGACTTTACACACCAGCTTAAAGAAATAGAAATGTTTGTTAGAGGGGAATTTAAAGTCATGGATGAGCTCTCTATATAAACAGAATATTTTCATCTATTAATCCACGTGTATTTACAGGGTTCCTGCTCTGAGCACGATGTTAGGTGCTATGCACACAAACAGAGCCTAGGAGAGAAATAAAGAAATTTTAACAGTGAAACGTATGTGGTGGTGACCTAGAGGTCTAAGTGAGCCAAAACATGTTATTAATAAACCAAGGATGGAGTGTAGCAGTCCTTAGAAGGGACAGGCACAAGTGGAAGATATTTCATGACCAGCATTTGTCTGTACCCTTGCTTTGCAATTTGGTTCAGATGGCACGGTCTTTAATAGTTCTCACTAGTGAAGTAGGTAAGGGGACGCTTTCACATACAAAATCTCATTGCATTCTTACAGTGTCCCTATGAAATAGGTAGGACAAATATTATTTTCCACTGTTAACACACAAGAACATAAGCTCAGCAATAGTACACTGCTAGAGATCATAGTGAATGGATGGCAAAATTAGAAGCTGAACCATGTTCTACAAGTTCCACCCTCACCTTCAAGCTCCCTCAGCCCAGCCACCACCTCCAGATTCCTAGACTGGCGTGCGTAGTACTCAAATTACCGTCCCAGCTGGGACCTCGTTATTCCCTCTCATTTCAGCCAGACATGGTTAGAGAAATGCATAGGAATGTTTAATTTAAGCAATAAGCAAAGACAAAAACAAAGATATGAAAACAATGAACTTGACTAAGCGTAGGTTTTGGCTCACAGGTTGGTGACAGGGTAGATGGTCTCAAGGGCCAGAGATCTTCTCATTTATCTCCTCCCTGTCCAAGAAGGCAACTGCCTGTCCTCAGGCAATCTATTTCTGGTATTTCTTCTTCTTCCCTGGAAGAGGGGTTAAACTGAAGCTCCAGCCTCTCTGTTACTAGAGTAACCCACAGAAAGAAGAAATGATCACGTTCACCGTTCACCGTAGTGGTGTATCATATCACTAACCCTTGTTCATGCCCACCCAACAGCTTTCATCCCCTCCTGAAAAAGATAAGGGAACACATTCCAAAAACATCCTATGGGAACCTCCTATCGCCACATACTCCAATGGAGAAAGGAGTTCTCATGATGGGGAATATGCAGCATTTGAACCTGTCAACTAAGTAGATGAAGCACCTTTTCCACATTTCAGTTTTAAAAAAACTTTTCCACTTTTTTCCCCTCCAGTCCCAAGAGGGATTTCACCAGACAATGCAGAGGTCTCCAGGTGCTGACCAATCTTTCATATATGAAACAGGGATCTCTAACATACCGCAAGAAGTCTAGATGCTTTTTTTCAGATCATTCCATTTTTATTCAGAAAGAAACCGAGAGGGACAGTGTAGGGTGATGGTTAAGAGCTTGAGCTCTGAAACCAAACTGACTGGGAACTGAGTTCCTGCTCTGTTTGCTAGCTTCACAACTGTGGCCAAGTTACTTAATCTCCCTGAGGTTCCATGTCTCCACCTACTTAAAAAAATAGTAATAGCTGGCATTGACTGAGCACTTACTATGTGCTAGGAATTAGGTATGCTAAGTTTTACATGCTTTACATCCATTAACCCTCATCACGGCCCTGTGAAGCAGGTACCATTATCATCCCCACTTCATAGGTAAAAAAACTGAAGCACGAAGAGGTTAAATAGTTTGCCAGAAATTATAGGACCCTAAGATGTAAAGCCAGGATTCTAACACAAGCAGTCTGACTCTAAGACCCATGCTTTGAATCAATACCTTCTTCATAGTGATGCTGTAAGGATTAAATGAGCCCAGATAAATCAGGTCCCCTGCATAGTGCCTGGCACATAAACAAGCCTTAAGTAAACGTTAGCTGTAGTATTATTTTTAGCACTGTCATTTGTTCTAAGAGACTTCTAGGCCAGAAAACAGGTTTTGACATAGGGTATTTTGCATCTATTCCAGTTAACTGCCCCAAGATATGCATCCTGCAGTTAAAATGACAGGCCTCTGCTGTTAACTAATCTGTGTATTATGGGTTACCTGGTTAAGAGATAGGTTAAGAGATAGCCTAAATCGTTGACAACTTTTTCCATTTGTCCATGCAGAAAAGCTCTTCATACTAAAAAGAAGTATTAAGTCTCTTATAAAAGAATGGCATACTGAACAAGAGCTAGCAGAATTACAGGCAGTACTCAGCTTATAAATGGGTTGTTTCAAAAGTTGGTTTGTCTACTGTTATAAACTCTGAATACATAGACATAAGTTTGAAAATGGTGGTTACATTCCAAGACTATTCACAGAAGTCTATTTATTTAGCCCATTTTAAAGTTCAATGATAGAAACCATGCCACTAGCCCAAGGCAGGCCTAGGAACAAGAGCCCATGTGATAAAAGACTAAGAAAGGTATCTTTCCTGGTACAGAGGAAAGTTGATATCGACTATATTAGTCATCTATTGCTGTGTAACGAACTACTCCAAAACTCACCACATTAAAACAATAAACATTTATCATCTCATGGTCTCTGTGGGTCATCTGAGAGTGGCTTATCTGGGTGATTCTGCTCAGGATCTCTCATGAGGTTTCAATCAGCATCACCCAAGCTACAGTCACCTGAAGGCTCTACTGGGGCTGCAGGATCCACTTCCAATACGGCTCACTCATATGGCTGTTGGCAGGAAGCCTCAGTTCCTCATCATGTGAGCTTTTCCACAGGACTGCTTGAATTCCTCATGACATGATAGCTCTGGCTTCCCTAGGTACAAGTGATCCAAGAGTGAGAACAAGAAGGTAGCTGCAATGCCTTTTATGACCTAGTCTTATAAGTCACACACTGTCACTTCACCCATATTCTGTTCATAATGAGCCACAAGTTATACATTAAGAGCAGCCCACACTCAATGGGAAGGGGAATTAAGCTCTACCTATTGATGGGAAGCATGTCACAGAATTTGTGGACATACCTCAAAATACCCTATCGTTTTTGTTGTCCTCCCATTACTCTCTTTAGGTACTCAGTACACAAAATAGTAAAAATAAACTGGGATGCAGAGCTTCAGCCCTTCCCAACAAAGTTTACTGTAAATATCCCCCAAAATCTATGCTCTTGCCTCATCTTGCTTTAAAAACATCTATCCCCATTCCTTAAATGGAATCTCATTTGCAAAATGTATACTAAAGAGTGATCACATTCCTGAAATACTTGCTCTGTTCATTTGTATCTCTCATTAGTAGAATGTCAGGCAATATAACAAACTAAAAGTAAAAACAACAGATAAACTACTCCCAATCTGGGTGGATTAAGATATTTGGAATTAAGAAAGCAACCTTCAGGAAACTTTCTCCCTTCTGTCGATAATGACCTGGGTCCCCTGGTTATTGAGTATTCTGGGTCTAGGGAACTAGGGGATCTCTGACCCCCAGTTCCCTAAACCTGACCCTCATGGCTGCAGCTCTGCAGGAATATTGTGGGCATTCAAAAGTGATGGACTGTCCTGGATTCCAAAAACATTTGCTGCTCTTGCACCAGAGACATGCAAGATTCTGAAGTATCATCGGGATCTTCAGAGGAAAATGATGTTTCATATGACTTTCTATTGTATTTTTTGTAACTTGAAATTTGGTAATTCATGTAGACTTGTCAAAATACATTTATAAACATTGGATAAATGGGAGTTTGCACTGTAATTCAACTCCAAGTAGAAGCTAGAGGCTTGATCTATGAGTTCTTCTAACAGTGTTGTTGTTTTAAATCTTGAATGCCCATTTGAGAATATGATGAAAGCTAAGGGACTTACTCAAGAAAATACATATACCCACAAAATTTTGCACATAATTTTAAGGCCTCCGAATCCCCTAAGACCCATCCAGGGAATCGCTGGAGAAGCGGGAGGCGGGGCTTATTGTTCATTTTGTCCTTAAAATGTAGATCTAAATTAGAAGCTACTACTAAAAACTTAATTCCTTTTAAATCTTGTTGTTAAACAAAACCAACGGCCAGTACAGATACCTCCACTAGATTTTCTGTGCTGGGGTTTAGTCCATACTGTAAACACCTTGGAGGCAAAAGGAACCTGGCGGTGAGCACACAGAGGACAACACACATTTGCTGGAAAAAACAGTAAATATAACGCAGGACACAGAACTGCTGGCGACCACAAGCATTGCCGTCTCCAAGCTGACCTCACTGTGCAGCAAATTCTGCCAATTTGCCAGAGAAGCAGCAATTCGAGAAGACAAAAGCGGCTCAGCAACCCACTTAAAAGAAAACGCTAAATTCGTTTTCTGTCGAGCATCAGAAACCCAAATCCCAGCCCAGGATTCTCTAGGCCCTCCTTCGGTGGAACGAACTCCCCGCAGCAACGCCCAACCCCGGGTGGGCGGGACCGCTCGAAACTACCCACTTAACCCGAGGACTCCAGCTCCATCCGCTCAGCCTCGGGAAGTGGAAGGGCCGCGCGGGAGGCTGGGGCTTCGCCTGTGAGTGTCCCCCGGGCAGAGGCGGGCCCGCGGGATCCGCATCCATGAGCGGGACGAGGGGCGCCCCCTGTCCCGTCCCTCGCGGTCGCCCCTGCTCAGCGCACAGGGCCTGCGTGTCCTCGTGCCGACTCCTCCCTCGCGCGCCTCGCCCGCGGCTGCTCCGGCGCACGCGCGCCGCGAGGCCTCGCGCAGGGCGGGGAGGGGCGGCGGCCGCGGGCGCCCGACCTCGAACCTGTCAGACCAGACCCGGGGAGCCGGCCTGGAGTTGTGGGCGCCGCAGGCGCGAGGACGGCCCCGCTGCCCCGCAGCCCTGGGCCGAGCTGTGCGTGCCGGCCCCGCAGAGCCGGCCGGGGGCGGGGAGATGAGCGGCGGCACCGCGGCGGCGCCCCAGGTAGAGCGCTCCCCCCTTTCGGAGCCCCGGCTCCCCCGCCACCCCGGGCTTCGGAACTTGTGGGCTTTGTTGGGGCGCTTTTAATTTATAATGAGTTTCGTTTTCTACAGGATGGGGAGGGACGCGCGGCAGTGCCATCGGGAACTGGCACTCGGGTGAAGTAGGAGCCGCCGGCCGTCCGCCTGCACAGAGCCGTTCGGCGCCGCGGCCGCACAGCCTCTGCCATGGCCGGATCCGGCGTGTGGAAGCGCCTCAAATCTCTGCTGAGGAAGGATGATGCGCCGCTGTTTTTAAATGACACCAGCGCCTTTGACTTCTCGGACGAGGTGGGGGATGAGGGGCTTTCTCGGTTTAACAAACTTCGAGTTGTGGTGGCCGACGATGGTTCTGAAACCCCGGAAAGGCCTGTTAACGGGGCGCACCCGGCCCTCCAGGCCGACGATGATTCCTTGCTGGACCAGGACTTACCTTTGACCAACAGTCAGCTGAGTTTGAAGGTGGACCCCTGTGACAACTGCAGCAAACAGAGAGAGTTGCTGACGCAGAGAAAGGTGAAAACCAGATTGACCATTGCTGCCGTTCTTTACTTGCTTTTCATGATTGGAGAACTTGTAGGTGAGTTGTGTTGCCAACTCACTTTCCATTTACCTTGCCTGGAGGGAGAGTCTTTGTCAAGCTGTAGTTACACATAACTTGGCGTTTAAACTTTCTTTTTAGGAAGCTTGTTATTTATCAATATACTGATGTGAAAAGCCCTCACGGTTCCAAAGTGCAGATCAAGCTAGGTACAACAAACTTCCAAAGATAACTCTGACCTTTTTTTCTGATTCTCCAAACACTGTGTCATCTACTGTAAAGTTAAGGACATTATCTTCATTATATATCATGTAACTTCCTCTTTTAAAAAAAAAAATCTGATAAAACACCAGGTTAATTTTTGCAACATTTAAAATAGTAAATGATTCTACAATTATTTAGAATCATAACATTTTACAGTATGAAGGGACCTTACTGAAAACCTGCTCCACCTTTTTCTAAGAGATCGGAGGACCCAGAGGTTAAATATTAATAAATTCTGAGGACACTTAAGTGGGTAATTGAAGACCGGTTGTCCTGATTTTTTCCCTCTACATTTGAATTAAGTGGTCTCTTACTATTTCCTTTTGTATTTATATTCAAGAAATTTGCAAAGCTAAATAATGCTAACTAACCTCACCATTTTTCATTATAAGGAGGATCTGAAGGCCAGATAGAACTTGGTTTTAATTTTCATTTTTAATTATTCAAGTAATGCAATCTTACTATAAAATACATGCTCAGTTTAGATATTAATTTCAGAGTTACTAATGTAACTGCTAACTTCTTTTAGTGACAGTTGATAAAGTGACATTAAAGCAGGGAGATTATTCTCCTGTGTTCTCTTTTTTTTTTTTCTTCTGGCCACACCATGTGGCTTGTGGGATCCTAGTTCCCGGATCAGGGACTGAACCCGGCCCCTCGGCAGTGAAAATGCAGAGTCCTAACCACTGGACCGCCAGGGAATTCCCTCCTGTGTTCTCTTAATGATGAACCATGACAAGAACAAAGGTGGCAGTCCAGATTTAAGATGCTGGCTGGAGGTTATGTGCAGGAAAATTATATACATTTCCTACCTCTTTTCATACCACTTCTTGCCAGTGCTCACTTCAGCCATGCTGGCCTTCTTTCTCCCTATGACTCACAAAGCTCTTTTCCTGCCCATAAGACCTTCAGACTGAGTGGTCTCTACCTCTGGCTTTCAAACTTTTTTGACTTCACTATAGTAAGAAATACACTTAACATTGTGACCCGTGTAGGCATGCATGCATACGTATGTATGTATGTACACACACATAGACATTTGTATAAATGTATGAATAACTAAAACAAAAATTTTACTTCATGTGCTGTGTTCTACTGTTTTTTCAATTATGGTCCCAGCCCACTTAATTGATTTCTTGGTCTACAAATGGGTCACGGCCTGCAATTTGAAAAGCACTGCTTTATATGGACTGCCTTTTCCCAAATCTTCTCTTGGCTGCCTTCTTGTCATTCATGTCTCATCACAAAAGATACCTCTTAGAGACCTTTCCAACTGCCTAAAGTCAACCTCTCTTCTCCCCTGTTCCTTCCCCAGCTTTAAAAGCCCTCAGCATCTGAGATTATCTTGTTTGTATATTCACTTGTTTAATATCAGTGTCCACTGAAATATAAGCTGAATTACCAGCACCTAGCACAATGACTAGCACAGGGTAAACACTCAATAAAGTTTTGTTTAATTAATTAATAACTGCTGTTAGAGAATTATAAACGTTTAAGCTATGAAGAAATTAAAGACAGAAGTGAAACAGATCAGATAAGGCATGGTCAGCAGATTAAGAGTCAATGACTTGGGGCTTCCTGGTGGCTCAGTGGTTGGGAATCCACCTGCCAATGCAGGGAACATGGGTTCAAGCCCTGGTCCGGGAAGATCCCACATGCTGCAGAGCAGCTAAGCCCGCGCACCACGACTTCTGAGCCTGCGCTCTAGAGCACGTGAGCCACAACTACTGAAGCCCGTGCGCCTAGGGCCCGTGCTCCGCAACAAGAGAAGCCACCGCAATGAGAAGCCCACTCGCCACAACTAGAGAAAGCCCGCGTGCAGCAATGAAGACCCAGTGCAGCCAAAAATAAATAAATAAATCTATTTTTTTTTAAAAAGAGTCAATGACTTGCCCAAATTCCCAGTTAGAATATTGAGTCATTCAGACTTAGTGATTCTTGAAGTTAATATTTGAAGTTAAAATCACATTAATCACAATTTCCCCCTTAAAATTAGAGTTTACACCTATAAAAATTACTAAGATATAATTGTCCTGACTTACTATTATTTAAATCTCTTACTTGGTAAATGATGTTTTGTGAAAGCTACAATAAGTATTTACTTTCAAATACTAGCTTTATTTTCAAATATGAAAATCTTTTTGTTAAACACTGTAGAGACGCTAGTACTTAGAATAGACATTAACAATATTATTCAGAATGTTACATAGAATTAAATTGTATACAGTAGAGCATTTATTAAAGTGTGTCGAAAGCACTTAGAAATAAAGCATCTTATGTAGGAAGTATGGAGTAATTTTTAAAATGAAGTATTTTAAAGATCTGAAAGGGCAAACTTGATTTTGAATCTTGGATTTGCTCTGAGACGTTAGGCAAGGTCAATTTCCATTCAGCAAGTATTTTTTAAGTGCTTGCTATATACAATGGAGAACAAAACTTATGCTCCCTACTATCTAAAACACTTAATCTAATGTTTGGAGGACATTATATCTTCCTGTAGTGGAGGACACAGGTATTAATAAACACACAAATAAATTTAAAATTCAAATGGCCTTAAGGACTGCGAAGAAAAAGAACAAGATACTATAAGACATAGTTTAGACATGTCCAGCAGGACATGGTTTATGTATAAGCCACATACAGTTAAACCAAAAAAAAGAATATTAGGAGTTATTTGAGCAAACGGAATGGAGCAAGATTTTTTCGACCAAAGAGAACAGCAAGTTCAAAACTCCTAAAACCTTCAATTCTTTAAGAGGATCTAAAAAAAAGACCAGTTTGGCCAGAATGTAGTA